CGCCCAGGTGCGGCTTCGGCCGTGCCAGCCTCCAAATCTCTGTTGTGTTGGTTGAAATCCTGGTTATTGTTGTGTGGACCAGGGGGTGTGGTGGAACGCCAAGGTGAGGATCCGTCCGAACCATCCACCTGCGGCCTCCCCCGTCTCCGGTCTTCTTGACTCTGTCTTGACACCGGACCCAGGCGGGGGAGGAGGAGAGAGTGTAGGTAGATGCTACGCAAGTCTACTGGCACTATAAACCCCTGCGTAAGTCACCGTCCCTGCTCCCACAATGCAGTCTATGGGGCACACGGTGGTCATCGTCGAAATCGACGGACGAACTGTCGTGTGCGTGTGTGAGAGAGAGAGAGAGAGAGAGGGCAAGGAGTGCGGACTTGGAAAGACCGTGCATCTCCATAGGTCGTCCGGTCATCTGAGTAGTTGTGCGGTGTCTAAATTCGCTGCACTTTCGGTGCAAAGTTGTCCAGTATCAGCGGCTGATCATGTCGTAGATTGGCCGGACGGAAAATTACCATTCGTTCGGAGCCATCAAATGTCGAGTATAGTATAGTCGACAACAGGAAGTTTATACTGAGATAGTACGATGCACCGTACTTGGCAGCACTGGTACTAGCTAGAAGCCGAGACACGCGTGTTTAGCCAACATTCTACCGTTGCATGGTACAGTTGTGAAAGTTTCGGCTCACCAGTGGGTCCGCCGGCGTTCCCCGGAATTTTCCTAAATCAAAAGTCAGGGAAGACAACAGCTGAGATAGCGCAGAAGCGCACAAAAATGAGATAATTTACGACAACTACTTGCTGAGCTTCTTTAACGAACGTTCCCTCAGTAACCGGCAGTCCAACGCAAACCGCCTTGCATGACTTCTGACTTGGAAGCATTCGTGTTTTCGACCTCGAAACTTGACGCCAAAAAATGAGAACCAGCCACCTCACTACTTTCAACGCCACCAAGGCCTAAAATATCATCAATTCTGACTAATTCTGAAAGAAAGTAATTGACGCCGGAGCGCATCAACTATTTAAACCTTTAGTTTACTTGGTCAGCATAATAGGCAAAGCCTTTGAAAACCCTATTGATTACATGCCAGCTCGTTAGAAATAACTGTACACGAACAATGAAAATATTCGCTATTAAAACGGTACTTGATTCATTTGAGTAGCATTGCCTCAGAGACAAAATTTGCGGATTCGCGGGGTATTTAGTTCAGATTCAGACTTTCGAGGGAAAACGGGGGACACAAATAATCATTCGAGCGTTTTTTGAAAAGTTGCAGAGACGTTGCCTCCACGACTGACTGAGGGAGATCGTTCCATTTCTCCACTACTCTTTGCGTGAAAAATTCAGAATGAAGATTCAGCCTGGGCATTGTTGTCCGTAGCTTCATCGAGTGGCCACATATGGTCAAACAGTTGTCCAATGGGACCAAGGCGCGCATCACGGACAACTGGTCAGTCTGCAAAGCAGTGACAGAGACAAATGGGATAACAAGCCAGGCAGTGCAGCTCCCCCCTTTTGGCCTCATGTTCTCAGCTGTGATGTTATTGGACTTCTTTGAACAGCGATCTGGAATCCGCTCGACAGACATCAGCTGTCCAAACACGCAGCGACGCAAGCTCAAAGAGAAGCGTCCAAGACCTGTTTCCACGATTCCTTTGTTCAGGGATGACGGCTTGTTGGCATGCGACGGGGCCCGGCTCTTTTCAGATGCTGTCGTTCACGACTAACACGAATAAGGCAGTGATCACGTAGTAGTAGTAGTAGTAGTAGTAGTAGTAGTAGAAGTAGTAGTAGTAGTAGTAATAGTAGTAATGGTAGTGATAGTATGTCTGGGGTAATGGGCAATGCCCTTGATGATCCAATTGAAAGCAGCGCATACAGTATAAATGTTAAATACACATCCTACTAAAATATTACCGGTAACATATTCTTTTGCGGCAAACGTTTTGCAGTGTGTAACTGCGAAGGTTACGGCAGAGGGTCCTTTCCATGTACATTTGAGATTATAAGTGTAATTATATG